TAAGATTTTTTCAAAATTTGATCTTCAATCCGGCTTTTTTTATGAATTTAATTTTTGATTTGACTATTTCGGTCTCTGGAGGATTTTGATCTCCATGCAGGCGATTTTGATCATCGGCTTGGCTTTGAAAACTTATTTTGGTGGATTTGGGGCTTAGATCTTTAAGGAGGTCGATTTGGCACTCCATAATGCTTTTTGACCGCGTGTTCCTTTGGCTTTTGGATTGAAGAGGCCGACCTTGATGATATGACAATGAACGTGATGAACGTTTTGAAACTTTGGAATAAACTTTGGAGGCTTTTTCTTTGGTTTTGACGGATATTTCAACGAATTTTGGAGCTTTGATATTTCTTCCGACTTGGACAAACGACATAGAATGTTAACTTCATCAATTGGTCAATCAATATTGGATCATTTATCCAAAACAATGACTTTTCGACAAAGAACGCTTTGAAGGACACAAAGTCATTGCAATAAACATCTAGAGACTTATCCCTTCACTTGAATTTTCGATGTAACTTTTGTATTTTCAATAAATTATCCAAGACCCTTATTTATAGGAGAGGATAGTCTCAGCTTCCTTTCCGGATGATGCTACGTGGCGCATTCCGGTTGGCCAACAGGAAGATTTTGTAATCTTTCTTTTTTCATATGATGACATTTTTCATTCTTGAAAAATTTGATTGTGCTCCGTCCTTTCTCGTTAAAATTTTTATATCATTTTTTTTTCGGAAAATATTAATTTAAATATTTTCTTTATTGATTTGACAAATTTATTTTGTGGCCAAACACGTAATTTGTACGATATCTTCCATTTTGAGCAAAATTTTTACATTAATGATTGATATTTATTGTACAAAAGTTAGTATATGTGCCTAATTAAATATCACACATTTATTTTGTAGGAATTTTATTTTTTTCAATATATATGAAAATGATATTTAATTTAATTTAGACATTTAATTTTTTATATCTACATATATATTTTTTGTGAAAAAATTGCGCAGGTTTCTCCAAAAAAGAAATTGATATTTTGCGCACATATATTAGTTTTTATTACTTATACAAATCTCTATATCTCACCTAAAAAAAAATTCTTCAAACTATTTAAAAATCAAACACACCTCTATATCTCACCTAAAAAATATTCTTCAAACTATTTAAAAATCAAACACACCTTACATATATACATATTTGACATATTATATAATTACAGTTAGCATATGAATAAATTGATATTTTCAATGAAAAATTATTTATATAACCATATAATGATATTATAGAAGTAACATTTTATCCCTTTACAATTTTTTGAAAATAAATAATCTCTTAAAGAACAATTATTTAAATTAGTTGAACACTATTTGACAATGAAAATGCATTGTTAGAACATTGTTAGAGCATCTTTTTTATAGTCGGTGTCTATGCCAAATTATCTTTTTTATTTCTTTCATTTACATCATATTCATATAAAAATTCAAATTACTTCTTTGTAACATCCGTTATAGCATCACCATATTCATCTATCACCTTTATAATTTCATAAAATTCATAATAATTATTTATTTTTATATATTTTTATTATCTAATAATATATAAATAATAGTATTTATTATATAATACTATTTACATCCGGCTCTAAGGGTCACAATTATTGATTTCGGGTTGATCTTTAAATATTAATTATTTTATAAAACATAGTACAAATCAAAGAAAAAATGAAAAAATATTTTTATTAATATCTTATAATACTAATATAATGACATTTATATAAAAAATTATAAAAATATATAAGGATATTTTTAATGTTATGTATAATGACGCAAAAAGTAAATGTAATATTTTGAGGCAGGCAGAGGAAGTATTATATTTTAATTTAAAAACATTAATTTATATAAATTGTAAAAATATTATATAAATTTTTTATAATATGAAATATTAAAATTATTCGAATTTTTGTAATTAGTGGCATTTAAAAAATTGAATAACTAAAATAAATTCGGAATAATGCATTGCCCAAATATACTGAAATTGGATATATTAAAAATGATTTAAAAATATATAGGTGAGTCGTGATTTTTTGAAAATAAATTTGATTTGTATTTGTATAGATAATTAATTAACTACAAAAAAATATCTAATTAGCTACAATATTTTTAACTACAAAATAGTTTTGAAGTTAAAATGTATCATTTAGCAACAAAAAATAATTTTATCGCTAAAAATAAATTATGTACTACAAAATTAATTTCGTCGCTAAATTTTTTATGCTACAAACTTCTATCTTCGTAGCAAAAAGGTTTTAGCTACAAAATAACTAAAATCATTTGGCTAAAAAAATCATACATATTTTGTTGCTAAAACTCTTTTGTTATGAATTTTAATTTTATAGCAAAAAAATTTTTAACAACGAAATTATATTTTCGTAGTTATATCTCTTTTTTTAACTTTAATCGCTAAAAATTTATATTTTGTTACAAAAATCATATTTGCCGCCAAAGACCTTTACTAACGCGATATAGGCGACGAAATGAGTTTCATCGCAAAAATATTTTTACTATGAATTATTACATTTTGCTACAAAAAGTTTTTGTAAGTAAATTTCAACTTTTTTTAGTAATATTATTGATAAATTTCAAATTTTAGGTTATAATTAATTAAATAATTATTTGTTATTATTTTTTAAAGGTAATGAATTATTAATAAAGATAATATGCCGATGTTAATTGTATTTATTAATAGAGGTAAAAAATCTCATTATAATAAAAGTTGAGAAAATAATGAAAGAGATAATGAGAAAAATAATTGTAATATATACTCATAGTTATACATTTATAAATGATTTTAATATGATCTCAATCATAACATAAGATAATCGATTAAAGATATATTATACAAGATTAGCTTTATTTTTTCAATAATAATGTACCAAAATAATGAAATACATAGTTTTCCTTCAATAAAAAGGAAAAGGATTAAGTAATGTAGGGTATAGATATGCATGTTAATAATTGTGACTGTGACTAAGAAGATATGGGCATGGACACAACTCACTTCATCCTCTTCCACATGTTATATATCTGTTGTTTATTGTCCACTAAAATTTTCTTTCCTATAATTGTACATATTGTCTCACACATAAAGCAATTTTATTTGTTGGTTCTTTGTAGGCTACCATTACTTCATAAAGTAGGCCCATAATGCAATTCGTCATAAATGGTCCCATAATTTTATTTTTCGCTTCTATAATATTAAAATCTGCAACTGCTATTTTTCGAGTGTATGTAAAGCAAATTTTTGGCAAAATACAATATTCTACAAATTACGCTAACAAAGAAATTACATCTGACTAATCATGTGTGACAGGTAAAACTAAGAAGACGGCTACATATTTTTACTTTTATACTATTCAACATTCACTTTTGGAATTTTCAAATTATTCAATATATTCATCTTTTTCTTTAAAAAAATTTATGCTCGATTTGTTGGTGTGTGTGAAGGTGAAAAAGAAACAAGAAAAAAAATGTGAAGGGTTTTATCCCAACGGTGGAAAAGTAAAAAGATTTCACCCTCCTTAAATACAATGTGGTCCTATTTAGAATTAAAGAATTAATTGATCGGATTGGGTTTAATTGGAAATTGACCTAGTTTAGCATGAACAATTGAACTTTATATATATATTGGGCTTGTGGCTTGTGGACCAGGCTCAATTGTAATAAAATTCTATTAATTCAAATTTAATTGGATAAAGGTACAAAATTCTAAAAAAAAAAAAATTTGTTCTTCAATTTCTTTCGAAAAATTATCGGTGGCGGGTCAACTTTGTTTCAAAGAATTCGCATTTAAAGTGAGACTCGAATCATAATTTTGTTTCCGATTTCCATCTCGATTTTCAATATATTATACATACTAACACAATTTAGAATATAAGAGTATCATTTACAATTTAGAATATAAGAGCATCATTGATAATTATCTTCCTCATCACCTTAACTATTACATTCTCAATTCTTTCTGTAACAGCGCTCATTACATCTATTCGAAATATGTTAGTCCCACATATATATTATCATTTCAAAGAAATCGTTACCTTGTCCCGTAAGGGATGACCTACTAGTGTAGAGTAGATTCGCAACGCCTCTGGGTCTCACCAATCTCACTTGTTTTGGTCTACTCCAATGTCTTCTATAATAATGAATATACATATATATGATAATGAATTTTAAATATTTTTATATATTTTTAAAAATTATATGATAATTTAATTTAATTTTATGATACTAAATTTAGAAAATTTAATATTAATTAAAATATATAAAACAAAAAAATATATATTTATGAGAATTAATAATAAAAAGATTTCAAAAAGTAACATTAATATTTATATTTATATTTTTCATATTCCAAACATGTGTGATAATTGTCATTTTCATACTTTTATGTTCACTTCAGTATTGTCCTAATTTTCTTATAATTTCTTAAAATAAATATAATAAAAATATTACATAATTTATACAATTATTACTAACTTTTAATATAATTTAAATTTTTAAATATTAAAAAGTTACTTAAAATTTTTAAAAAGAGCAAAATGAGCAATTGTTCATGACCTCTATTTTAAGAGAATTTATATTTTTTTTAATTTTAGTCTATTATTATTATTAGATATATTTAAATTTACTCCTATATTTTTCTATACAATTACTCAATCTTATTATAATTCTAAAAATTAAACTCTAACATAATATTGTTTATTTTAGACTGATGATACACTTTCTATATATATTTCATTTATTGGATATATAATTAATATAATTTTTACTTTTTTATGGGGTTTATTATTATAGTATTTGTTATTGATAGTATTTAAAAATAATAATCATTTATTCATTGGCTTACAATTTATTTTTTGCTCAGGATTCTGACAAAATTCGAGGTCTGAATATTACCAACAACATTTACTATATATATTTTAATTAATATCCTTAAACAAAATCTCATCCAAAAATTGAATTTATACTTTCCAATTGATATGATAATATCCACTTTGAATCGACCATATAGCAAACTGTTGGCGCCAAAAAAACTTGACCTTTCCCACAGAAGATTTAGTTACACCTCAAAAAAAAACTACACAGATTCTCCACGCCAAAGAATCCTTTCGGTTAATTTTGATCGCGCCGCAAAAGAATCACATATAACAACATTGCGAGTAAAACAATCACTGTAATCTCACACACAAGAATTTTTTTTCCGACTCTCAGAGGCCTTTGAGCTGGTCGGCAAGTCCAGAAAGAGCAGTCCACCTCTCGAAAGAAGAGGCCGAGAGCACAAAGGCTACCTTTGAGGCTTCAATGTCATTCTTGGACACTGCAAAAATGCCGCGACCAATCAATAATTGTCTGCATCAATATATGCGACCAATCGCGTTAACTATTGTAAGAAACTCTCACCTGATGATATTAAGGATTCCAGCGAGGAACTGAATGCGTCGACCTCTGCCTTCTCATCCTTGCTATAACTCAGCTATCAAAGGAAGAAAATAAGTCTTCGACAAGAAAATTATATATATATTATACTTCCTCCCTTCATTCAATTTTGTGCTCAAATATATAGACACACATTTTAACGAGAGTCGGTAATAATGGCTACTTTTAGCATTTTATAATAAAAGCATGTGTGCTAAAAGATAGCACACAATGTTACTACAGAAAATATACTCCCTCCATTTCACATACCGTGTTCATATTATTGTTTTTGTCTGTTACACGTCTCATGTCACATTTATTTCTTGAAAATATTACATACTTTAATCTCATTTTAAATTTTTTAATTTTAATTAGACTAATTAGTTATTTTAATCTTAATTTATAATTATTTATACTATATAATAATTATTTTCACGGATACATTCTTAACTATTTACTAATTATGCTTATCTAAAATTCTCGTGTCTACAATAACTCGGACATGCTAGGTGGAATATAAAGAGTAATATTTATATTAATATAATACAATAGCATGCGACGTATTCATATATAATACATAACATATTTCTATAGAACATATATTTTAAATATGAACATATAGTACATGCTCTTATTTCATTTTGCATGTACTATCTGCACTTTTTAATTAGCACGAACCAGATTGATAAAAAGAATTTGATTTTTTACTATATTTTTTTATGAAAATCTAAATAAAATATGACGATCTCAATGAAAAAAAAATAAAAACAAAAGTAAGAGATACATGCAAATGCTCGTCACATAATGTGAGCCCATCATCGACGACAATGGCAATCCTAAGGCTCACATTACAAATGAGAATATATAGAATTTTTCAGATCAGCTATCAAGAGTTCACACCTTGTTCATTGCAGCATTCACTTTCTTGACCCATTCGGCGTCACTGCTGGAGCCGAGAACAGAACTCGCCGTAGATAGGTCATTCTTCTCAATCGCTTGCCCGATTTTGCTAAGCTTGTAGACAAGATCTTGTAGATTGGCTGCCATGTTCCGGAAACACATTCAAATTATTACCCGCGACAAACCTTGAAACTATTTAGGTTTTAACTTAACGTCATGTTCTTTCAACATTATTTTTTAATTACGATTCCCCAAAAATAATAATAAAAAATATAAATATTTTATACAAAAGTTAAAAAAAGTCAAAACACTCGTAATAAAAAGTCAAAAGTCAAACATTCACTTAAAGTAATATGTTTTATATTTTTTACACAATTTTTCGTACCAAATAAAAAAAATATCATTTCATCCAAAAGTGATGCGTGAACAAAGCCTAAGTTTTCACTGTATCCATAAAAAATTTCTTCTAAATATACATATAAAATTCTAGGCATATTTTCATTTTCAATTTCAATTTCAATTTGAATTTATATTATTTTTATCAATTTTTTCCATAACAAACTATATATAATCAAATATTTATTTTTTATATAACGTAGGTATAAAAATATCAACTTTTCATTTAAGGTTTTACATCACATTTGTTTATATTTCATCAAATACCGAATCAATTCAAAGTTATATATATATATTATTTTATTATTCAAATTTTACATTTTTCCATTATTTAAATAAAAAACTCAAAACATCACTTGAAAAAATACGAACTCTTCTCCATTGCAGCACTATATGGCTACAGCCTACACGACTGCAATATACATATAATTTTCTGTAATTGAAATTTGGAAATAGATAGTTTAGAGGAACTCGAATTAGAACAGACACAAATCAATAGTTGAATCAAATGATTTTCCAGAAAATTTGCCAAACACTCCCAAGAAAAATCGTGCAATGTTGGAATCTTCCAAGTAAAATTAGGGCAAAATTATTTCACTGCGAAAGGAATCTATCTAAGAATGGAATCGAGGAGGGAATTGAGAAATGGAAACCTTTTTCTACGGCGGAGGAGCTGATGACGCCCTGCCTTTCAATCCTCTTCTTCCTGTCCTCCTTAACCTTCTCGAGCAGCTCTTGATCGTCGTCGGCCTCGAGAATGGCGGCATTGGCGGAGCCGTTGTTATTGAGACCGGTGAAAATGAGTGTGGACGCGGCGGCGATTGTGAGGGACACTGAAATTGTGCGGCGGTCGAAGAGAATGCCCTCGCTTGCGGCGGCGGCGGATCGGCAGAGAATCATCTGTCTGTGGGGTGGGGAGATTGAGGGGGCGAAGAGCTTTGCGTTTGAGAAGAAAACTGTGGCCATGGCTGCGATTTTGATTTTGTTTGGATGTTTTTGTTAGCGTTGTTGCAGCAGGAGCAGAAGATAAGATTGCGAGATTTTTGTATGGTGTTTTTAGAGATGGAGGGTATTCTTGTCATTTCATTTGTGTAGTGTTGTGTGTGATGGATTTTTTTATTGTTATTTTAAAATGGCTGCGATTTTGATTTTTTTTTTTTTTTTTTAAATGATCTGAAAATTCGTAATTGCTACCCGAAAGTGCGAATTCGATAAATTTTGATTTAATTTAATACCTTTTAAATTAAGTTCGACAGACAAATCACAACTAGTCGAATCATGGTAAATAAAAATCGATACATAGAAATCATTTTTGCGTTTTAGAATATTTTTAAGTGGGTTTGTTTTGTATTAAAAATCAAAACTATTATTATTTAATATATACAACTAAAAATTTACTATTTATTTTTATACTAAAATACTTTTTAAATTTAAAAAAAAAATCAAATCAATGATAAAAATAAAATAAAAAATTATATATATAATATGTTAATTCACAACTGATCATGCATCCATGTCAACACACTTGATCACCGTGAAAAAAAAATTTTAGTGTAAAAATTTACGGTTCTATCCGAAAGTACGCCTGATAAATTTCTAGTCAAATTTAATACCGTGTTTAAGTTATTTTGTTTGTATATATATTAGTATATATACAAATATAAAATATTTTATATATTTAGAATTATTTTTATTTGGGCCATTGTCAAGCCCAATAAAATAAACGCAAGTTAGACTATTATCCATATACAATACTCCCTCAGTCTGGGTAATATATGACTATTACTGTAGATAAGATAATTTCGATAGTAAAAATAATTATAAATTTAAATTAAGATAATTAAAAATATTTAATTAAGATTATAAAATTATAAAATTTAAAAATCATATTTTCGAAAAAAAAAATGACAAACTATGTGGGACGGAAGAAAATAGAATACATAGATAAATTATACGGGACGGGTGGAATATATATTACACCTTAATGCATATAGGTATGTTTCTTTAGTCGAGTTTCCCCAAATTTTACTATTTGGACTCTGCGTTTCCCAAAAAAATCATTTTTCAAAATTTTTTATTTGGATTTAATTTTAGAATTATAATATAATTGGATAATTATAGAGAAAAATATAAAATAAAATTAAAATTAAAATCTAATATATCTAATAATAATAATAAGTTAAAATTTAAAAGAAAAATATATAAGTTTTTGAACTTAAGGCGCTAAGGAATTGTTCATGTTTACTATTACTATGTTGAATAAGGAATTATCATAGCATTTTTAAGTAGTGCGGTTCCTTACAAATATTACTTCATCTGTTCACCTCAAATGGTCGTATTTATCTTTTGTGTCATTGTACTTAATATTAAAAATATTTTTATATTTATATAATTTTTTTTACAAATATTCTTCTATTAATATTATAAGACACTAATGGAAGTATTTTTGCAATTTTTTCTTAATTTGCACTACATTTTGATATAATAATTAATATTTAAATATCAATACGCAAAAATTAAATGAAACTGTAATAATCGGACGGAGATAGCATTAAAAAATACTATAATATACACATATTAACATGATATCTATATTATATACTTTATTTACTCATAAAAAGTTAATAATTCAATATAAACATATAAACACATTTATTCAAAAATAGGAAGGGAACAAATCTTGTATATTTTTAATCATACATGGTATGGTATGTAAAAATTAAAATATTATTTTAATAAATTTATATATAAATATAATATAATAAAATAAATACTTTCATTCATATATAGAATATATTTTATGATGAGTGAGTTACATTACTGATTTGGAAAATCAACACTCCAGTACACATAAAATTTAAAAAAGTTACATTATTGATTTGGAAAATCAACACTCCAGTACGCGTTAAAATCTAAAAATAACATATGTCTCTATTATATATGTGTTTTTTAAAATAAAAGTACGTGCTCTTTGTAATAAAAGTATATATTGTGTAAGAATATATTATGTGCTAAAATCAAATATTGTATGTATTGTTAGTTTATGTGTTTATATTTATCATATTAATATAAATAATATGCTACCAATAATAATACCGTGTATTAATTATTAGCATACCGCGTGTTGTTTAACATAATACTGAATTTTAAATTCAACACTATATCTATCGTTATTTTATCATTTTCATTCGTTAAAACATAAAATATACAATTTTCTTTTTAATAAGTTAGAAATTATAAATATTCTAAAATTTATATTTATTTACATTAATACTATTACATCAAATTAAAACTAAAAGACGAAAAGACTTACTCTTTCCGTCCGGCTTTACATATCTCATTTATCTTTTGTATCATTGTACTAAACATTAAAAATATTTTTATATTTGTATAAATTTTTGCACAAACGTCATTGTAATAGTATTATAAGACACTAATATAATATTTTTATTATTTTTTCTTAATTTGTATTATGATTTCATATAATAATTAATAGTTAAATATCAATACATAAAAACTAAACAAGACCCTTAGAGCCACACGGAAATAATATATATTTAAAGTATCAAAATCTATTTTAAATATTTTTTTCTTAATTTTTAAAATACTACTGTATTTCTATTAAATGCACGAGAAAGTATTAAAAGAATATTTTATTAATATTACATAGGGTGTGTTTGTTTTATTTGAAATAAAGAGACAGTAGTATTTAATCTGCACCGTTTTAAAAATATATATATAATATTTTATTTTAAATATTATTTAAATAAAATTTTAAATCAACATCCAATTTCAAATCACAAACATACAAACTCATAATTTATAATTGAAAATTAATAAAACTTTTAAAATTTGATAAAAAAAATTATCTATAACAAATACTCCCTTCCTCCACAAAAAAATATACAGTTACTTTTGGCGCGGTGTTTAAGAAATAATAGTATTTTAATTATAGTGGACAATTAAAAGTAGTGTAATAATATTTTTGCCCTTATTTTTTTGTATAAAAGTAATGAAGTGATGTAAAATAGGGATATTTATAAAAAAAAGTAAGATATGTAATAAAATATTTACTTTATAATTGGACGTACCAAAATAAAAACACGTGTACTCTAACTTAGACGGTGGGAATACAAAACATAACATAATGAATTTTCAACATCATAAATAAAAAGTATACACTACATATAGCAAGTAGCAACACGTGGCATTAGATGCATCTTTTAGTCTGTTGAACACTTTTTAAAAAGAAAAGTAAAAAAGAGAAGTAATAATAATAATAATAATAATAATAATCTCTCCGTGTAGAAATAAAATAAAAATTACTAAAATAATCTTATTAGTATATGTGATATAAATGTAATGATATTTATATAATATATTATAAATTGTAAAAGTATTTGTAATATTAGATAAATAGTACAGTTACTAAAAAGTTGATATTTTATTATGGGACGAACTAAAATTAAAAAATAAATACTTTGTTATAGTTGGAAGGAAAGTAATAATAATATTTAAAATAAGAAGCATAAGTATTTTTTTTAATTATAACTGCAAAAGTCATTTATTTGAATCCCATCAATTTTATTTATTTATTTTTTTTTATTGACCTTTTTCCCAAATGTTGCCTAGAATGACTTGGATGACTAAGATAAACACATCAAGAGTAGTTGTTTTAATTTTTTCTTATTATTATTATTATTAAATTGGTCCCAAAAGCTAAAGATGCCGTAGTGCCTCGTCTCGCGACACGAGTGATAGCCTCTTTCTTTTTATGCTAATAATAATAACAATAATAATAATATATATATATATATAATAAAAATAAAGAACTTAAGATTAGTAATTTATTTAATGCCCTAATGAAAACAACATTTTCTTTGAGCCGAAGTTACAAACACTGACTTTATAACCCACGCATCGATGCATAAATATATTAAATATACCGCATGAATTTCATTATATAACTTGTTTTCGGCTCATGGAGAGTTATGTCATTTTCGACTCCGGTGGAAAGTCATATCATTCTTGACTTCGGTGGAGAGTCAATTGTTAATTATTATTTGTATCTTTTTATGTCTATATTCAACTTTCTTATCAAATTCAAATTGATTTCTATTATATCACTTGAATTTGAGTGAGAATATTGAGATATTTTAGATATTCAGTTTTAGATTTAGTAGATTTATATTTAGATTTGGTCTTATACATAGATTAAATTATTTAGATTTGGGTCTACTGAGTCCGTTTTGTATTGTCTATATATAGGTCTCTCTTATTATGACGATCAATAACACAATTTCAGTATTTATTCCCAAAATTTCTAACATGGTATCAAAGCCTATTTTTCTTATGCCGTAAATATAACCTACCAATCCTTGTTTTTCCGGGTACATTCAACTTGAATTGTATCCGAAGGTCTTATAATTTTAATATCATGCTATATGTCATATGTTTGTTGTGTGCGTGCGATCTGAAATCTATCTTTTATTTGTAATATGTCTGTTGTCTGCATGCGATCTGAAGTCTGTCTACTATCTGTCATATGTCTGTTGCTTGCGTACAATCTGAAATCTATCTGTGAAGAGTCATGTCGTTTTCGATTACGGTGGAGAGTCATGTGTGATTGTGGAGTGAGGTGAGTGTCAATAAAGAGGCCAAGCCTGCGCCAATATGGATGGATGAATCTTCCTTCATATGACAATTGTAAAGTGGCATGGTCATCCTTCTCTTTTCTGTGGGGCCGGTGGCAGCCTCATCCTCTCAACCATCTGTTGCGGTATGATAAGTTGTCTCGCAGGGAGGCGTCATGTAATACCCCGGAGTTGAATAGTAATATGAGTCGGGGAGGATAAAATACTCTCAAGGTTGAATAAGAGGTTAAATAGATTGAATAGACTACTCATGTCAATAATGTGCACATTTTCTTTTGGAGCCTTACTAAAAGAACTCTAGAGTTAAGCATGTTTGTCTTAGAATAATTTGATAACGGGTGATCTCTTGGAAGTTTCTCAGGGTGCGCGTGAGTA